TCCCCACGCCAGAGCTGTTTTCCCAGGGTGCCTTTGAAGGCAGCGCTGCCACCCACCAGTGCCCGGGGGCCCCCCAGGTGTGGCAGCGGGTCCCTCGCCCTCCTCCCCCTCGCCCGGGCTGCAGCAGGGCTGGCAGGGAAACGCTTTCTGCTCACAGGTGTGGATTCCCTCTAGGAATAATCATCCCCGCTGTGCTCTTGTGAAATTTCAACCCTTCAAACGCAGAGGTAAATGAGATACAAAACGAGGAGATGGAGAAAAGCCCGGAGCACATAAATCTGGATGAGGCAAATTTATACAATTAGATGTCTGCCAAAAAATTGCGGCATCTCAATCGGAGGCGTTGGCTTGCGCAGGGCGTGGGGTGGCAGCTGTCCGTCTGGAAGGCAGCAGCCCCACAAGTCCATCAAGACACCTGACTGATTCTGGAGCCCCACCTGGGGGTGCAGGGGACCCTGTGGATCTGTTCCTGCAGGCTGGGCTCCCACCCAGCACCAGATTCCCTCCCCATCGCTCATACCTCATGGAAGCCACAGTTCATCTTTCACAGCCACAGACCTTCAGAGGTTTATTTATTTTTAAATGCTGCCTCTCTCCTGGACTCAGGTTTTACTTTTAAGAAGAAAAAGTAACTTTCTAGCTGGAACCCACTCCCCCAATCGGACTGCTCCCCCACTCATACCCCAGCACAGTGATGTTTTCTCATCACTGTGGGCTGGCAAAGTTTGGAGTCATGTCCTGCCACATGCCCTTGTCATCTCAGAAAGGGCCAGCTGGAGTGTGTCACACAGCAAGAGAAAAAGGTAGCTTGTCCAAAACCCAAAATGCCATAGATCATTACTAAGGCTTTGGGGACCAAAGTCAACAGCTGTCCAGGAAGGAGAGGAAACCAAGGGAGGAGAAAATTCTTTGGCCTCAAGTAAAGCTTGCTCTCTGCCTGACCCATAAAACCTGCACATCAGGGACAGCTCTGCTTGCTGGAACTGAATGGCCAAACACTTCTGGATGCTCATGTAGTGCAAAGTGGGACTCGACACCCCTCTGAAGGACCTGATGTCCCTGCAGCTGTGGGGACATGAGACCCTGGGACCCCACACACCACGGCCAGGCCATCAGACAGAGCAGCTCAGTCTGCGCCTACCACGGCTGTGTGTGTGTCGGAGCCAGCTTGTTCTCCGCAGTGAGAGCCCGATGACTTCATCAAGGGGATGGCATCTGGTTTTGCAGTTGGCTATAATTCAATTCTCCCCCTTGCTGCAGGAATTTCAGCTGGTGGAGCAGTGATTTACTCAGCCGGGCTGCACTTGAGTGCAAAGCAATCTTGAGGCTACAATCGAACGCACTGTTATTTTGAGAGCTCACAGACAAGGGAATAAATACCCTCTTCTTTTCATCCCAGTAGCTGCCAAGTGCAGGCTACAGAGCTTTTTAAAGGCATTTAGGAGCTCTCCTCTAACAAGTGCACTCTGGATGCTGTGCACGGTCAGGCAGGACCTTGCCTGCACAGCTCACTCCTGGTCTGTGGCATCAGGATGGGATTTGCAAGGACAGCCAGACACAGGCCAGGGCACCCCCTCACCTGCATCTCCATGCAACCCCCATTTTCCCCATCTCCGTCACCCCAGCACACATCACTCCTGAATTCCAGCAGCCCTGACCTCACCCCAGCCCCCTTCAAACCACCTGGGACCCTGAGGCTCTTTTGGTCCTGGGCTCCTACACTCCTACTTACTCCAAGTCTGGTGTCTGCTCTAACAGGAAAAGCAAATCAAACTCATCCAGATGGATCAAATGCCTTCATGTTTGACCTCTTTCACTGTCTCACCAGCTTTATCCCTTGGGAGCAGTAGGGCTTGGCTGTGGGATCCCCTGAAGGACTGATGGGATGAGGAGGGGCTTGCTTGGGCCACACACTGCCATGCCAGAGCCTACGGATGCTTTATGGGATGTGCCCATCAGGGAGCCAGAAGAGAGACCACAAAACTCATTGTCACTGGGGCCACAGCCTGGCTCTCCAGGGACAGCAGGTCAGGGCAGAGCTCAAGAAGAGCCCCCAGGTCAGGAAGTTTTTATGGTTGCCCAGCCCTGTGAGCACTTTCATGTGCACATCCGACTCAACACAGCTGTCCAGGCCACAGAGAAAGAAACCTCCACTGTTCCCATGATAAACCCAAAGTCACTCTTAACATTGCCTTGTGCCCAGTAACCAAGGGCCAGGAATTCCACGATTTTCTGTGGAAAAACGGAACATATTCACCCCATCTACAATAAAAACAAGGCGCCTCCTTCCAGCCCCACAACGTGCCTTGCTGGCAATGGCAGAGAACTCCCTGTTCCAAGTACAAGACCAGCTCCAAGCTTGCAACAAAACAGGGAAGCCAAAATATTTCCAGGTTTACGTTTGAATCCCTCCCTTCTTCTTTGCCCTGACAACATCCCGCACAGGCGCGTTCCTCCCCTGCCTCCACCTTCCCCAGGATGGGGCTCCATGTTCACAGCACTGTGGGGCTTATTTTAGCCTCTAAACCACCTCAGTTTTGGCTTAATGCTGCCATCACCTCCCTGCTGCTGAGACAAAAGCCATTTATTGACTACCTCCAATAAGGCTGGATCCTTATCTGTAATCCACTGTGCTGCCTGGATGGACCAAGAGCAGAAAACTCCAAATTTTTATGGAGGCAGAAGTGTACTACAGTCAAAACAGCCAAGCTGAAAACAAACAGGAAAAGCCAAAGCAAACCTGAGCCTGCCACACCTGGGGCTAAAACACCCAGGGCCAGATTCTGAAAGTACAAAAGGATTTTCAAGAAAACTAAGCACAGCCTGCACTAGGAGGCACAGGTTTGGTTCACCCAGGAGATCAGGGTCTCAGCTGGGCGAGCACCCATGAGCAACACTGGGACTTGGCACAAGCTCCAAGGAGAATTTCTGCCAAGGAAACTGTGAGCATGGTGTGCTCTGCCCAGACCTCCTTTCCCCAGCTGCCTCACGGTCACCCTGACCTACGGCCAGAGCACCCAGCCCAAGGGCACTGCACGGTGTGTGCTGCCCAGGAGGCAGCAGGGCGAAGCCATCAGTGTCGGAGCAGCACAAGTGGGAATCCAGCCCGGGCTGTGAGCGTAGGGGGGGTTAAGCAAATAAATAAATAGGGCAGGACTCGGCGAGGCACTGATCTGACACGCCAAGCGCTCGCTTGGGCAGCCTCCAGCGGCCCTGCTCACCTGGGGCTCCCAGGAGGGCCGCGAAGCCTCCTTGGCGCTGGGAACCCACAAATTCCCAGGAAGCATAGGGAAAAAAGGAGCAGAAGGATACGGCAGGGAATAAATCCCCCTTTTCCCCTACCTTCCCACCCACAAAGCTTCCAAAAAAGCCCCCAGCCTGCTCCCAGCCCACGGCACGGGGAGCCCCGTCTCCGCCTGCGCCCCGCTCCCGCGGGCTCTGGATCGCCTCGTTCTGCCAGTTCTTTGCACCTTATTTGACTGCTGAAGGGAGAATCAAACAAAGCAGCCAGCCAGATCTCCTATCAAGTTCTTTCTTGCACCGTAAATCTCACAGCCTCGACGCTCTGCAACTCAACCGCTCCAAAAAGGGCGTTAAGCAACACATACGGGAGCAGCTCCAGAGTTTCCAGAAAAAAAACAGGGGGTTCAGCTTCCAGCCTGCTGGGAAGTTTCATGGGAAAAGTGGGGTCCAGAGAGACACCTCAGTGCTAAGGGCAGCGCTGGAAAGGTCTTCCTGGAAGAGGGCGAAGAGGGCAAAGATGGGAGGAAGGGCGTAAAGCAGTTATTTATTTATTTCCTACATGTGTGTGCAAGACTACTTCACCTACGGTTATGCAAAAGAAAGGCAGAGGCGATTTAAAAATTAATAAATTAATTTTTTTTTTAAAAAAAATTAAAGTTTTACTAAAATAAAAAGGGAGAAAGAAAACCTCTAAGGTTTAAATCTCCCTTTCTCCCTCCTGCTTTCTCTCAATTTTTCCCCCCCTTGCAAGTGAAAAAAAAAAAAAAAGAGGTAAAGAAACTGGAGAGTTTTGGAAGGAACAAATCCGCCTCTGTGGACTGGGTTTCCCCTCCCCCAACAAAAACAAGCACTCAGGGCTTGAAGGAATTTGCAGGCAGAGATCTGCCAAAAACATTGTGAAAAACTATGGGGGATTCATTGGAAACAGATGGCGTTTTCAGCTGTAATTCTGAAATTCTCCCCTTTTCTGACACAATACAAACATCGGGGCCGGGGGCGGCGGGGGGGCCGAGCCCCGCGGCGGCTGCGAGCGGCCGGCCCGGGGGTGCCGATGCTCGCGGGACCATTTGGTTGCCATCCCGCCCTCGGACAGCACAACAGCTCCCGGCCCAGCCGGGGCAAGTTTTCCAAGCAAACGAGGCTGCCGAGCCCCCAGAGCCGAGCGGCGGCGAGGGAGAAGGGGCGGCCGCCCGGAGCGCCCGCGCATCCCCCGCCCGCCCGCCCAGGTGCGCCCCGAGCGACCCCCGGGCCCGCACCGACCCCAAATCACACCGCAAAGACCCCCCCAGCCCCTCCGCCACTGCTCCCCGGCTCTGCCCTCCGCGGGGGCTCGGAGCGTGGAGCACAGCAGGAATTTCGGATGGGGGTGTTTTGTGTGCGGGTCGCCCCACCAGCGTCCCCCCTTCCTTTCGCGGCAGCCGGGAAGGGCAGGACAAGGTAAGCTGGCACTGTCAGGAACACCTCCCGGCTGCCTTCGCCGCTTTGATTTCCACCATCTCCTTCCTTGTGGGATGAGGAGCGGGGAGACAAAGAAGATGAGGTCAAGGAGGAACACCCACCGCAGCTGCTCGGGGAACGGGGAACTGGGGGTGCACGCACCAAAACTGAGCCCCGCTTGCTTATTTTAAACATGTGGCAAACTGCTGCGAGGAGAGGGAGAGGGAAAGAGGCCCAGGGACAGGGGAACGGGGGCGGCGATCCAAGGGCTGCCAGAAACACAAGGAAAAAGTCTGCAAAATAAAGAGGCTGTTCCTTACCTGAAGGGAAGATGCAGAGAAAGACAGGGAGGATTTGGAAAAGTCCCAGGGCTGTGGATCCTGCCCCTCTCCCCATACCCATCCATCCAGCTCGAGCTTTAACCACTATCCTCTCCCTGGAAGAAGAGTTTAAAAAAAAAAAAAAAAGGAGAAGGGGAGAGAGGAAGAGGGGGAGGAAAAAAAGGGAAAAATAAATCAATCGAAAGAACTTGAGGGAAAAAAAAATGAAATCAAAAGCCCCACATGGCTCCGCGGAGCGCGGCAGGCACGGGCGGCCCCAGCTCCGGGCTCTGCACTGAAAGATTACACAGACTTTTTCTCCTTCTTCTCCTCCTCCTCCTCTCCGTCCCCTCCCATCGCAACCCAGCCCCAGCCATCAATCATCCCGCTGCCTCCCAATGCCTGCATCCTCCGGCGCGCCTCCTCCTCCGAGCGCGCCCGCCTCCCCGGCCATGCTGCGGGAAGGGGCGGGAGCGGCCGCGGCCATGGAGCCGGCCGGGGAGGAGCGGCGAGAGAGAGCTGGGGACAGCCCGCACAGGGGGCTGGAGATGGGCATGGAGCCGCCAAGCTCCGCCGTGCCCCGGGGGAAGGGGTGGCGGTGGTCTCACGAAGGGCTCTTGATGTGTGCCACCATCGCAGCTCGCTGGCAGTTTGGGAGAGGGGCTTCCTCCCACCCCATCGGGTCTCAACACACACTGTGCCTTTCCCGCCCCTCTCCCATGGGCCTACCAAGAGCCCTCTGGTCCAAAGAACAAGCTAACCTGGCCCTGGGATCCCAGGCCCCAAAATTAAGCAGTTTGGGGTAAAGGGGCTGTTGCACAGCAGAGGAGAGAAACTGAGGCAGGGAGGCTTTAGGCAGCTGGTGCAGGGTAGGGGTTGTGATAGCGACACTGAGGTCTCCAGCCTGCTGGGGGATGGCATCCCCCCAGCACATGGAGCTCCTCCATATCTTCCAGCCCTGGCACCATGGCAGGTGAGAGTTTCACAACCGTTCCAGGTCATTCACCTGCACCTGCACTGGCAGCGGTGAAGTAACCCCAGGTGACTCAGAAACGGCAAGTCTCATAGATCCTTATCATGAGACTGGCACTCCTTACATAGGGGCACAGCTGTCAGGTACCCAAATCCAGCTGCCAGCCCACCAAGGACCGATGGAGATGAATAACAATACCTAAACTCACTCAGGACCACCACCACTGCCTCCTCTGCACCACCAGCCCACTCACAGACCTAGATGTTCACTGGGGGAAAGTCTCACCAATTATGTTGGTAGGATTGTCCCAGGGTCTCACTTTTAAGCCTCCCTTAGAGACCCTCTGGGCACTCCCAAGCAGAGACCAACCCTGAGAGAGCCCTGTCTGCTCACAGACCATCAGACAGAACAGCAGCTTGGAGCACACAGGCGTTTGCCTGCTGGGTTTCAAGATCCTGCTCTTTTATCCCTCCTGCAATGCCACAGCATGTGGAGGTGAGCAGATTGGATCTGCATCCCCACCATCCCAGGCGTCTGTGCCACCCATGAGAGGGCTAGGCTAGCAGGAAGGCATCCACTTAGCTTGGATCTCAAAAATTTCCCTTGAGGGATGTTTTAGCCACAGTGAACTAAGACCACTTCTGAATGAGGGTGCCTACGAGTGTAGGCTTTAATGACTTCCCTGTTTTGGATCATTAGCTCTCCTTTGATGGCATGTCCCCTTGCCATCCGGATGTTTCATCTCCTTTCTTTTGGGGTTCTTATGCAAAGAATAAAAGGATGCTGGTAGTTTTACACCACCCTTCTCCCAACTCTGTAAGACCACGCGTCTTTCGTCCCGCAGGTTGGTATAAGCTGGGATACTCCTTGACATTTCTTCTAATTATTCTTGGAAACCTCCTGTTCTAGCTCATAAACATCCTTAAGCGTGCTTTTTCGAGTGACTGTGGCTTAAATCTCTAATAAGTGTTTGTGATCTCCTTCCTGTCATGGATTGAATCTGTGATCTAGTACAACAAATATCCCACAGAAAGAGGAAGAGGAGATGGGAATAAATATACAAGAAGAAAAGATATCTTTTAACACCTAAATATTTGTCCATGAGGGGAGTGAGCCCCCATGCCTCCAAATGAAGGAGGAGCTTCTCTGGGGCTTTATCCAGGCTGCAACAGGAATTAAAACACTGCAGCTTTTCCATCTGGGACCCAGATGGGATCCAAAAATCCTGTGGCCTTGCCTGCCTAACGGAATATCTGCCTTGGTCCTGCTGGCCCTAGAGCTGTGCTCAGACGGTGTCCACTAAAGTCAGAGGGAGCTCTGTGTGCAGAGGAGCTGCCAGAGTGGGCAGAGCTGGGCAGGAGATGAAAGCTGGCAGGCCGGATCCAGACCTGTAGCAGAGGCAGTGTGGGAGGAACGCCGACTCGAAGCACCTCTTTGTGGGGGATGTCAAACAGGGGCAAATATGTCCAAACCCTGCCAGCTGCTCCTACCACCCAAGAAGAAATGCCTGCTGATGGGATGTGTAGGCAGCTGGAGCTGGAAGGGGCCTAGGGGGAGGAGAGAGAGGGTCTGTGAGCTGGGGAGAGTCCAGGAAAAGGCGGGGGGAGATCCAGGGGATGGGGTTCCAGACCTCAAATCCCTTCCTCTTGCTCCCGCCCTCTCCTCTTGCAATGCGACTTTTGCTTTCATTTCAAAATGAAAAACATAATTTCTGCTGTTATCCTGACTGATGACATCTAACATGATCTGTTTAACTAAAAAAACCCATCTGAGTTACGAACTTTGAAAACCCAGCTGTTAAATAGCTGCTGCGAGGCTGCTTTGATGGTTTGACCTAAAGCACCACTTTGGTATTGCCGTTTTGGGGCAGGCTGACACATTGCAACGATAGCCTGGAATCCAGTCTGAGGCATTATAGTTAAAATAAGACCCTTGATGGAAATTCTGCCTTTGGTGTAGGGAAAACTGTGCTGCTATAAAGCAACGGTCGGATGCCCCTGGCTCCAGTTTGTAAAAATTTCTCCTTGATTTTGCTCCGTTGCATCATGCATTGCAAATGGGATTGCTGTTCTTGGCACTGATCAAAGCAGCGGATTTCGCTGGAGAAAACAACAGATGTGTCCAAACCGTAACTTCGGGGAGGAAAAGGCCCCAAATAAGGTGTGTTTCTGAAATCCTGCTCCCCCTTACACATTTTTGAAATAAACTTCACCTTTCTGTTTAGCTGAATCAAAGCTCTGGACTTTAAATCACCTACTGAATCAGAGGCTGTGTGAAATTCGGATCTGTGCCCTGCTTTATGGGGATATCTAGGCTTGGAAATGTGGAGCTACTGCGCTTCCCCCAACTTCTTTCCTTCCCAAAGCCCATGCAGGACTCCCTGTTCAGGCAGCGTTGAGCTTGATGCTCCTTGCAAACAGAATGTGGGAAACCACCCACCACTGACATGCAACCACTGCAGCGGCTCAGCTCCGGGGCACGGGCACCTCCGTGGTCATCTGCACGTTGCTGCCGTGTTTGGTGTCACTGTGGAGGGGTGACATGCAAATCACAGCCTTCTCCGAGGGATTTGCAGGATGCTGGAGGAGTCACAGATCCCGTGGGACACTCAGCTGGGATGGCTGGGCTGAGCTTCCCTTTTCTCTGCCCTGCGTGGCTGTGGGCTTCAGTGGGGCTGAGTGAATGTGGCTGATTTGAACGCAGAGGTTTGCAGATGAGGGCTGCCCTTACAGCCTCCCTAATGGAATCATTCACTACCTGTAATTATATGGCTAAAATAGTAAACATGGGTATTTCTGAGGGCTGCAACTAGTAGTTAGAGGAGTGGAGGTCGGGGCTCCTGGTCTGCTCCTGACTCTGCCATGAACTTTCTGTGTGGCCACTTTTCACACCACTATCTCCACACTCCTGCTCTGCCTCAGGACACGGTGTTCAACTCATGGCCTGTCTGGGATAAGCCATAATCACTCCAGCAGGAAACTAATCCTGAAACGCTCTGCAGGGATATGTGTGTGTTTGGGGTGAGCAGCAAAAAGCAAGCTGTTCCTTAAAGGAGAAAGAAAGGAAGTTTGGAATGGAAACTCCCAAGTTGTTGCCTGGAGAGGTTTGACAACTGATCCCAAAATGTTTGTGAAAATAAAAGCAAACATTTGTGCGCTGAACAATTCCCTTACTAAAGAAAAAAAACCCCTCCTAATAAGAAGAACCAAAAATACCCCAAAATCTTTTTGCAGTAACAGCCACCTCTGATATCTGCAATTAAATTTAAAGACGTTCCTTTTACTCATCATTCCAAGCTGCCAAATACACATCTAAACCCCCTTCCCTACCAATGTTTCCTTGCGGGTAGAGCAGGAAAATGTCCCCCCAGGATCTCCTTAGTGCCCTGCACTAAACTTTGACATCAGCTGGATGGGGCAGGCAGAGAGGATGGCACAGAGCTGGGCTTTGAAGAGTGACCCACTCCTGCGTAGCAAAGTGCACAGAGGAGTTTGTTGGTTTATCTAAATCCTCCTTCCCACTGCTGCCCCCGTGAACACCAGCCTCATCAACCTGGCTGTGTAAAAAGCGGCCAGTTTGAAAGGTGGAAAAAAAAATACAGCTTTGTGCCACCAGTAAATGAAATGTAAGAACTCTTTTGTTGACCTGCATCCTTGCATCTGCAGATTAACTGATTATGAGCAACCCCCACTGAAGGCACAGTGGGTAACCTTCTCTCCTCAAATTGCCTCCTCCAAGCCCACAGCCATAAAAAATCACCTCTAAATGCTGAAAAACAGCCAGGCTGCATAAGGAGAAGGGAAGATGGGCTGGCGGAAAACTTCCAGTCTCACCCATGACAGAAAGCAAAACAAGCAGGAATATTTTAAGGCAAACAGTTCATCACACTGACTTTTTGGGCTTGTTAACACTCATTTGTGTCTCTCCCTTTCCCTCTCCTGCAAAGCCCTGGGGGGGCAAGGCCTAATTCCAACACATGGGAACATGTAACCATCTCTTGTTCAGCAGTGTTTGGAGGGCTGGCTGGAGTTCACCATCTGTATATTGAATTCTCAGCAGGGAGCTGGTCTTCCTGGCCCAGTCTTCTATTTGGGTAAATATCAAGCAATATCTCTGTAGTGTATCTTCTTCACATCTGGGCTCCCCTCTAAGCAAAAATAGAAGATGGGCTGGGAGGTTCCCTAGATCAAGTTCAAATGGCCAAATGTCAGCTTAGCAGAAAAGGTGGATAAGTCTGAACTGCCAAACAATGATCAGAATCATAGAATCACAGAATGGTTGGAGTTGGAAGGGGCCTTAAAGATCATCTAGTTCTGATTCCCCTGCCATGGGCAGGAACACCAGAAGAATTGCAGAGAACTGGGTGCTTACCAGCACAGACAGGAGCCAGTCTGTGATGGGACAGTCTTTCTCTGCTGCTTTTAAAAGCTCCTGACATCTCGAGAAAGTGCAAACATTGCTCACTAATTCCCCTCCTCTGACTGACAGGTCAGCTAAGGACATCTCGATCCTATTTAAAGGTGGGAGATGGCATCAAGTGTTTGCAAGCCTATATCTGCAGCCCTCTGAGCAAGGGGTGTTTGAAGGATCCTCTGGAAAAAGCTCTGTGAAACCCAATCAGCTTTGCCAGGTCTCCTTCTGTCAAATTGCAGCAGCAGTGGCCAGAAATACAACCCAACACAGGATGCCTTTCCTGCATTCTCAGTTGTGACACACTGAGTGACAGTGACCTCAGCTGATTTAAAACTTTGTCCTGAATATCCGAGAAAGAGACATTCCTTCTTATGGGAGAAAAAAACCCCAAACCCAAACAACTTTAACCCAGCACTTCTGTGGTTATTTTGGCAAACGAAAATGGGAGTTTTTGTGAAGAGGGAGCATCTTGGAGGTGGCACCAGGAGTCCTCCCGGGTGTGCCTGGCTTGGGGCTGGGCTGGGATTAAGGCTGAGACTGGGGCTGGGGTTTGAGCTGGGACTAAGGCAAGGTTGGAGCTGAGCTGGGACTGGGATGAGCTGGGCTGGTACTGGGCTGGACTGGGATTGGGCTGGGCCGGGGCTGCGGCCCCACTGGGTGGTGCTGTTATCCCTGCGCCGCCTGCAAAAGTATCCAGTTTATAAAATAAATGGAATCCAACGCCGCCTTAAACCACATGACATAACAGCAGCTTGCGAGCTCCCATTAAAATCTCAATTTGGGGAAATTGATTCTACCTCTGAGCAATTGCGATGCAATTACTCCAACAGGCAGCAATCAAGAATCACATCAAAACAACACCAAACTTTCATCTCCTGCCTCACAACCACCACCACAACAAAAAGCACCTGTCTTACAAACGCAGCCCGGTTTCCATAAATATATGTAATTTTTTGGAAGGGCAACGTGCATGTTCCAGAGTGGAAGCTTGGACAGAGGCTGCTCTGCCTGGTGCGTTTGAACTGTCCTGTCTGGGGGCTTTATTCTGTCCCCCCCGTCTCCTGGAGGAGATTTTGGGCTATTTACGGGCTCAGGACATCAGGAACGAAGTCGCTCCCGCTGCCCTGCCGCACTCCAGCTGCCCATCCTCCAGATGTGCCCGTCCCAGCCGTGTCCCACATCTGTCCAGCTGTCACCCGCCGTCTTCCTTCCCTCGGGGTTCGTAACCCCCCCCAAGCACTTTGCAGCCAGGGGAGTTCAGGGGGAGCTTTGTGTCCCCGCTCCGCTCTCGATACCTGCGATCAGCCCCGGGATGAGCAGTCCGAGGGAAAGGGGGAAATATTGGGGAGGATGTTTACAGTTCTCATCCGTGGTCTGCAAGGAATTACTCGATTGACTTAGCGCAGCAGGGAGCAGCTTTAGTGGCAACCATCAGAAGGGAGGATAAATGAATAACCTCATGCATGCCAGCTAGAGGAGCCGGGCAGGGAGCGCAGGGCAGGGGAAGCGGGAGGAATCCAGGTTCCTTATAAAAACGGCCGGGAAAGGGGGAGCCAGGAGGGGACCCGGAGCCTCAACAGGTCCGGAGGAGGAAGGGCCATGCAGGGAGCCGGGGGACATGCGGCCGGGGGTCCCCAGCCCCCGCCCCGCTTACCTTGGCGGCCGCATCAGCCTCTCCAGCCCCGCGGGGGTCGGTGCAGGCAGCGGCGGCTTTTTTTTTTGGTATATATATTTTTTTTTCCAGGAGGGGTAAATAAAACTAAAAATAAAAAACTAAATCAAACGAAACCCAAACGAAATAAAATAGTAAAAGCCCCCAAGGGTGGAAGTGGGGGTGGCGGGGGGGTGGAGGCCGAGGGGCGCGGGCAGCCCCCCGCCCTGCGGGCAGCCCCGGCGGGGTGCAGGCGGCCTCGCTCAGCGGGACGCGGGGAGCCGCATCGCCCTCCCGGAGCATGTGAGAGGCAGCGGAGGAGATAGAGCCAGATAGGGAGGTCCCCTCCCTCCTCCCTCCTTCCCTCCTCCCTCCCTCCTTCCCTCCGCGCACGCTGAGCAGCGTCGTTCGCAAGGAGCGGCGGAGGGAGGGAGGGACAGAGGGAGGGAGGGGCAGCCCCGGCCCGAGAAGGGGGGCTGGGGGTCTCCGCTGCAACACCCCGACCCCCAGCACCCCCTCTCCGCGTGCAGGCAGACAGGGCTGGGGGACGTGGAGGAGGATTTCAGGGTTTTCCCGGAGAGGTGGGGATGCTCCACCTGCAGCAGGAGGAGATGAAGGGGAAGTGGGGTTTGGGGGGCACACCCCTGTCCAGACCCTGGCGTGTGTGTAGGTGCTGAGAGCATCTTTACGTTGACGGGGATGGTGACAAAGGCAGGGACTGGGGGCGGGAGGAGGACCCTCAGCAGGACTGTGAAGTGGGGAAGGGATGGAGACCCCAGGCTGCCCTCAGAGCCCCTCAGGGTAGCTGCCCACCTCAGCTGCCCCAGCACCCAGCATTGCTGAGAGCTGGGCAGTGTGGCAACTCGCCCTCAAGTCTCCCCAGCACTCTTGGTGAGAGGCTTGTGGGGGCTGGTTTTGGCAGGCATGGGTACCAGGGCGATGGGAAAGCTCTGGGTGCCGGATTGTGCCAACCCAAGTGTCAGACACACAATTAATTACTGCAGCCCCAGAGCCACAAACACTAAATATGCTGTCTCCGTAGCGTGTGGATAATAGCAGCTCTTTGCAAAGTGTTTCTTTCTCCCCTTTCTCCTCTGTGTGCAAGAGACAGCGACTGCAGAGAGCACACAGCAGCTCTCCAGTGCTTGATTAAGTCAGCAGTGAAGACAAAATGTGCCTGTACAGCTCAGGCTTAAGGAGGGATTTGAGTGTGTGTAAGGTACAAATTAGAAAATGGATGTGATTTAATCACAACAAATCTAAACAGCCCTGCTACAGAAACCTTGCCATCAAAGAGGGCTTTCTCTTAAATGTGGGCACAGTGAGTGTATAGTCCTGACAAAGGAACAACGTGTTTGGGGATGAGTTATTAAAGCAGAAACAGAGAGAAGACTGGGGAAAGCCTGATGTATACCAGATAAGTTATCAGTTATAGAAGGAACGGCTTCCTTCCGTAATAATTATTTGCAAATCAGTCCTCAGTTCTGGATACTCTGGTGTCTGGACACCACAGCAGAGACAGAGCAGCTTCTGTCAGGCTTGGGATGCTGCACAGACAGGAAACCAGGCACAGACCCTGCCTGGGAGAAGGTAAACTGCTTGTTCGGAGGAGCCCAAGTGAATGCAGCAGACAAAGAGGAGGGGGGAGAAGCCATGGCAAGCCCAGGCCTTCCTGCAGGTGTGCACAGTGGGTCGGGCGCGAGTCCCAGGCTGTAAAATACCGTACACTGGAGCATTACTAATCCCAGCTCCTGGGGACTGTGCCCCTGCTGGCTGGGGGGGCATTGCCACCGCAACCACAGCAGCTTTGGCCGTGCTGGGGAAGGGCTTCCCTGAGAAGACAAAGCACGAGAGAGAAGAATGCTAATGCACAGGGCGCCGAGGTGCCTTGGTAACAGCAGCAGAGCATTGCGGCGGCAGCAAATTGGTGCTGAGCCCGGTTCCTGTTGGGAACCAGGAGCCCCGGAGTGGGGAGGCTCCACCAAAGCACAGCTGCATTCGTGGGAACTCTCAGAAGTCTCCGCTGGCCGCTTCCCCCAGCTCTTATCGGCGCGCCCGTTAATCTTTGGCATCGCAACAGGAGTTGGCACCTCCAGTTCCAGGTGCAAGGTGCATGTCTTTGACCTTGCCATTTCCTCCATAAACACCCTGCGAGGTGTAAGAGCAGCAACGGCCCTGCGTGGGCACCTTCTGGGTGAGCTTAGCCCCTGTGGTGCCAGCAGCGCCCAGCTGGCAGGGCAGTGGTGGGGATGACTGCGGGTCCTGGGCAAGAGAAGGCCTCCATGGGCGTGGGCTGTTGTCCTTGCAGGGAAACTCCAAGAGTACTGATGTGAATTTGGTCCTCATCTGTGAAGCACAGCCAGGTTAAAATTAGATTCATCGTATTCAGATTTCTCTTTTCTTTGCTTGTCTGATGAACCCCCAGTTTAGTGCCTGTGACCAGTTTCTTATCCCTGGAGAGGAATTTGCCACTCTGCCTGTGCAGGGACCTTCCTGGCCACAAACCAAACAAAGCAAATAACACCAGTAGAGTTTGTCCTTCCAGATATGATTAAGACAACACAAGTGAACAGGCAGTTAAAGGAGGAGCTTGGCCATGGGAGAAGCATGAGACCTATTATCAGGAGGCAGGTGGCTGTCCTGGGAAGCAGGAAGACTTAGGTGACCTGAGGAATATTGATGGGTTGTGATATGCTGTAGAATCATAGAATGGTTTGGGCTGGAAGGGACCTTAAAGATCATCCAGTTGCAGCCCCTGTGCCATGGGATATGTGGAGGGGATCACAGATCACTGACACTGATGGAAATCATCTTCAGGAGTTTTTGGGCATCACCAGGTTGACATGCAGGTGCAACCGAGAGCATGAGACACACGAGCTTTTCATCTGCCATTTCCATCCATGCATGAGGATTGCCTAAACCTATTATTTTGAAGGCATTTTCCATGCTGCAGCTATCTTCCTTGACCTCTAAAAGATCTGGCTGATCCTGATCTCAAGATGAAAGATTGCCACCTCACGGGCTGTGAACACCCGTCTGTGAGATTAGGCCCTGAATTATTAATACAATCAATGACTACCTCTTTTCATCCTGGAAGAGGCACAAAGGAAAGCTACGGGGGCCCTGAAAGGGAGGGAGGATTCTCGAGCAAGGGGGGAAGAAGCCACCAGTGGAAACTGGTTTTCTTTGGGTGGAAACGCCTCCTGTGTGTGTTTTATTTTGGAGGCAGGAACAATGGCACCATTCAGGAGGCGACAACCCAGCTGTGTTGGTAGGGCTGATGGTGGCACTGGGAAACCTCCCATGGGGACTGTGTCCCCAAGGGAGGGCATTCTTCCTTGCAGCCCCTCTCCTGCATTCAGTGCATCATGGGCTGCACTAAAATGGGGGCCCACGAGCCTGAACTGCAGAGCTAAAGCGTGTGGAGAGGAGGAGCTGGGGAGCAGGGGGATGTGCTCATCCTTCCAGTGCACAAAGCTACCAACACCTACACCCACAGGTGACAGAGCCTGTGTTTTGTGGGGTGCAGTGTGGGGTTTTTTCACCATGGGAAGGTTGTGGACATCACCAGACTGAGGGATGGACTGCAAGGCCATGCTTTTGCTGCCTGGAGCACAGTAACCTTTCCTGTGGAAGCTTCAGTCTGGAGGTGTTGTGACCATGTGCTGCTGGGTCTCTCTCCTGATCTTTACACTTTTCCTTGGCTTGAGCCTGACTGACCAATTTGGGTCATTTTGGTGATACTGGTTCCTTTCTCTTTTCCCTGTTGCATTTGGGAGGAAGGTATTATGGCCCTCTTCTCATCCAGGACCAGAGAAAATTCCCCAGTTCTGAGCCCCACATAGAAAATGAAGCTAGTTGGAAACCAAAAATAAAATTCTGTCTTTGCTCCGTTTTTCAAGAGGTTAAAAAAATGTATTGTGCTAGTGAAGCTATTCTTTCTGAGTAGATAATGTAAAGCATTGCTTCAGTGCTGGCCAAAATGTCTGAGAAACATTTTCCCCCTCCTTTTAATTAAAGTTCATATTAACATTGCAAATAAGATAAGAAAAGAAGTGTTCAGTTACAATTATGTAGCGCTTTGTGATCACAAACAGATTCTGTAATCCCTGCTCAGGGGGTTTCAGAGCTGAATTTAGCTTATTTCAGAGTACAAAGTTGAGCTCAGCCAAGACTTGCTCTCCTACTCTGTGTGATCCTCATCTGTGCTCTGGTCACACAAGGGACCCATGGCAAGCCAGGCTGCACAGCCAACAGCATCCCACAGATGCATCAGCTGCCCTGGCTGGGGACCAAACCTCCTTTTTGCCTATGCAGCTATTTATTAATATTCTTGTACCTATTAGTTTTAAACTGATGCTTGCTTCAAGCATCAAAACCTGGTACTGGTTCAGCTGCAGCTGCTGATGGGCTCAAACCCAGAGACATGAAGCTCTTCACTGTGGCTGAAAGTGAGCATTTATGGGCTCTGACCTGGCCAGTGTTGTCCTGTCCTAGGTAGGGCCATGGCCCATGGGCAAAGGCAGGATCCTGAGCAGGTGGAAATATTCCTCCTCCCTGACCTGTGCTTCTAAACTGTCTGACCTTAAAGTATTTGCAGCAGGCATGGGAGTAATCCCCTGGGTTCAGCATGGCCATCTTGTGTTTAAATTTAGGCATGAGTTGAAATACCTGACTGAGAGCCTTGGAGTGACATTTACATTACAGCAACCCCTGGCACTTAATGGACTTAATAGAGCAATGCAATCCACAGCAAATGTGAAATTCAGTGCCAGGCTGTGCGTGGATAAAGCTATGGAGACAGGGAGATGGACAGGAGTCAAGTGCATCTGGGCTTCTGGAGAGCAGCCCCAGCTGCTCATGGCTTCTGCTGTCATTCCTTGGCTTGATGTCACAAGATGGAAAGAGCAGAGGATGGAAGGTCAGTGGCAAGAGGATGCCCTCTCCACAAAAATAGTCCTTTGCTGTGCTACAGAGCTCTACCTCCGTTTCCAGGCAGCTGTTAGAGAAACATTTTTACATCGTTATGTCTCCTAGAGCGATCTACGAAGAGGAGCTTAGGGAGGCATTAGGGTTTTATGTGAGTTTAGGTTGCAGTTTGCAAAAGTGCTTTGTTCCTAAAATGCTGATTAGGTTTCCTGCAGACACTGGTGCGTTAGAGGCAAGTCGGGCTAGAAGGTGAGGAAAAAGTCACCTGCCAAGCAATTTGGAGAACTTAGGTCTCCCCAGATAATTCAGTTCCATCAGGTGACTCATGCAGGACACCACCAGAAGTCTCCAGTTCAGAAGGCCACATCT